ATCTTTTTGGTTATTTTCATTTCCTATTTTTACTAGTGAGTGAAAATTTTTCACTCTAGTAACTGATATATTTATTTGCTTTTCTTTGACCATAAAGAAAATCATAAGGATAGCGTGCGCAGTAACGATACTATTGTAAAGTTGATTATCCGCCATGTACTGTACACCAGGTCCTGATAATTCTAATCTAATAAGAACAGACATACCAGTTCCAACTAAACCAGAAAATAAAGCAAAAATTAAGTATAAGGTAGGGGTCAGTTTACTGCCCTCAGAACCGTACGTGATAGTTTCCCATCATACGGCTCGCCGCAAATGTTCTTGTAATCAATTTTAATAGCTTGACTTTAGAAATAATTCCCTAATATAAAAAAGAAGGAATCTTTGATCTACGTATTTTATCCTTTTATTCTTATTGTAATTTATATCGCACTGGTCTATTTGGGAATATCATAGGTTGGGATGGCTGCTTGAGTTAAATTCCCGTCTTTCTCCTATCGAGGGATGTGACTTACTGTGTTTCGCATATGTTACTAATTTGTTCTCATGTGGTAATAGTTGTACGGTCCCCCAGTAGTGAAAGATAGTCTTATGTCAAGTCTTATGTTTCCCTATTCAATGTCTAAGTCTTATGCTCCGTTAGTAAAATAAAGTTTGTAAAATTTCCTCCGGTTGTGCTTAGTAACATTTTCTTTTGTGATTGTTCGGTTTTAGATAGTGAATATATTTTTGTTAAGGAGCAAAAGAAAAATAAAATATAGGAGAGGTTCCTTAATTTTTGAATTTTTCTAGAGTCTAATTTGATTATAACAGAAAATTGTTATAATGGAAAGTTAATATTGAGTTTGTCAGATTAAGTATTTTCAACTTTTAATTCTTGGGTATAAAGTAGTCTTATGAAGAAATTCTGTTAAGTACTTTGTTCTAGTTGTAACTGATTTTTCTTGTCTGACTTTTTCAATATTCCTTTAGCGATTAGTTTAGAGATATTTTCGGTGTAATTACTAATTATGTTTAGTTCATAATTAAGTAGTTTACCATGGTGATATAAGGAATGATGGTATTGGCATAAGGGTATTTGTTTACGTTTAACAGCCCCTATTCACTCCTGGTATAGAGATTTTCGTGTTATCATTTTTGCTCTTACATCTTTTACACTTCTTAGGTGATGCATTTCAATATCATTTGAACTTCCGCATAATGTACATTTTTGAAAAAGATTGGTCTTTGTTAACCTTCCGTATTATTCTTGTTCAAGTATGGGCATTACAGGGTGTTGAGTGTTTTTACAATTGTATCGATGGATAGCTTTTAAACTCTTTGGAGATATTAATTCTAAGTCTGTATTTGGATCTTTTAGATTTTTTCCAAACTTTACAAAGATTTGTCTCATAGATCGGAGTTTGTATTTACGGGCCAATGTTTTGGCAGCAGATTGTTTCAGTAATCAGATAAAATTGAAAAGTTTCACTCTATTTCCCGCGAATGTGTAGTAGTTAAGAAGACCTTGTATTTTTGCATTGAAGAACTGTAGTATAGTTGTGTGATCTAAGTTGACAAGTTTAGTGTACGGTTTTGCTAAGATGATTTTATCTTGGTTCTTTTTTATAAAGCCGATTTTGTGAAGCTTGTCAATTATTTTAGCGGAAGGCATATCTATTCGAGCTCGCACATTGGCTCTCATTGTTATTACTTTTCCAGTTCTTGTAATGTTTTTCATTCTATAGTCTAACCTCTTTAGTCCTTTTATTCGAGCTCCTAGAAATTCAAAGCTTTCTTTTAAGTGAGTGATAATTGTTTTCTCGTCATGTAGTTCTAATCCAGTATTGTTTCATAAGAATTTCGTAATTTTTTCTTTTATTAATTGAGCTTCATGTTTAGGTCCTTCAAATAGAAAGACGAAGTCGTCGGCGTATCTTAAGAAAAGTGATCTTCTATAATTAGGATCGAGAGGATCGTTTCTTGGGATAGTACGGCACAATTTTAAAGCTTTTTCCCTTTCCTCTTTTGTAGAGTTGGGATTGTTTGTATCTCTTACGGATATAATCTTATTATACATTGGGTTAGTCTTACGACGAGTTCCTCTATGGTTTTCAGGGATTATGATGTCATGGACAAATTTGTCTAATTCATGTAATACAATGTTTGCCAAGAGTGGGCTTAGAACACTACCTTGTGGAGTTCCAATGTCAGTTTTTGTTATCTGTTTATTAATTGGATCTTTATAACCTACAGATAAGGTTTTTTTGATAATGGTAAGTATTTTATCACATTTGATTTGTCTTTCAAGGAGGTTTATTATAACTTTATGAGGGATTTTGTCAAAACATTTAGAGATATCTCCTTGTATTACCCAACTATAGTGGTGTGCTCTTAGATGTAAGATTTTTAGTGCACTGTGTGTAGATCTTTGAGGTCGGAATCCGTGTGAACAATCTAAGAATTGAGGTTCGTAGATAGTTTCTAAGATAATTTGTAGACCTTTTTGGATAATTTTATCTCTAGGAGATCCTACCCCCAGAGGACGTTTTTCTTTCTTTCCGGGTTTAGGTATTAATACTCTTCGGGCAGGAGAGAAATTTATTCCTCCAGTTTTTATTTTATTAGAAGTTTCTTCGAATCATTTATATGTGATTCCATCTATTGTTTCAGGGGTTATACCTCTACTCATATTACCTGGTTTTCCTTTTATCAGCATATAACAAAATTGGAGAAATCCAACATCAGCTAGGATTTTTACTATTCCGTTATATTTCCCGTCTATATCTCTATATTGATCTAGCTTAGATTGTACGTACGAACGTAAGTTCTGATTAGTCAAACTAACATTATTACGAGTCCCACGTTTTTCAGCTGAAGATTTTTTGCTGTTGTCCTTCGTTTCAGGTTTTTCCTTTTCAGGTTTAGGACTACTACGACAACTCCGACCGCGCTTACTTGTAGAGGCGCTTAGTTCCCTGGGTTCCATGTTATTACCATTTTCTTCTGAGTTCAATTTTGGTGAGCTCAGATGTGGTGTTTTTACTTTAGGTTCTTGCACACTTGTCTTGTTAGGACTCTCCTGACAGGAGTGACTTTTGGCTTTTAGACAACCATCATAACCGGAATCTTTTATGATAGCAAGTTTACCAAATTCATACCGCGATATTCTGCTTAGGATATGAAGCCCGATTCATAGCAATCAGTATGTATCAAGTATTCTTATCGTAACCGTTGTAAAATTCCTTAACGCTATAATTAAAATCTGGCAGTAGATTTCTCATAACGCATTCATTATCTGCTTTAAGTGACTATCGTTTATTGGACAAACAGTACCCGATAATGTAGGATTAACATACTGTTTGTAGACAGTGTCTATTATGTTAAAATTTATACACCTGTTTATAAATCGAGTAATAAACATGACTCGCCAGGCGCACATTCCAATATCTTTAGCATTCGAGGACCAGGACCACCTTTCAGTACTAAGCGAAGCATCCATGTTGAAAAAAAAAAAAAAAATTTTTTAGAATACTATGGTCTAATCTCCGAAAACTCAACTTGTCTTTTTAAAAGAATATCTTAAATGTGTTTATAACAAACTTTAAGTATCTAATAAATTAAACAATGTCAAGTTTACCTAATTTAAACGTTTAAATAATTTATAAAGGGGTAAGGTGGAATCGAACCACAATTAATGATTTGCAATCAAATAACAGACCTTCTGTAACATACCCCCAAAAATTTTTTAAAACGCGTTATTATGCTTATTCGTTAGCCTTTTACCTTGTTACCCTATATTATTTTAAGTATTTATTTTTAGTCCCCAAGATGACTCGAACATCTATCAAAATATTAACAGTATTCTGCTCTACCGTTGAGCTATGGCGACTTTGATATTTATTAGCGTCCCGTACAAAATTAATACAAAAAAATTTTTTTGCACACAATACTATTTTAACAAGCTAATAAGTGGGCTAAGGCTTATTTTCCCCCCCCTAAACTGGATATGACAGTTATATCTAAACTGACTTTATTCAAATTTGTTCTACGGCTTTCCAAATCGTTACTTATTTTGAAGTATATATAAACAATACTTTATTACGCTGCCACGTTTCAATCCATACTTTTTCCTATTTACTACGTTTTCGACACTTAATCAAATATACTGTTACTATTTTTGAAGATGCTCTTTCCCTCAAGGTACTGTATTATTACATTTAAGTATTCCCACGTAGTACTATCATTATCCATATTTAATAGTTACAATATTTAGCCATTTTCTTTTTCGAAAACATGCGTAAGTTCATTTGGTCACATCAACGATTTATTTTCGGCAGCTTCTGGTTGAATAGGCTGTGATAATAACTTCATAAAAGTTTCGTTTATTTCATGATTATTTATATTCCTTTGACTCAATTTTTGATTGTTACTATAATACTCTCGAAGAATTTTTGGCTATCTCCCAATCTTCAGACCGCTCGGATGTTACCAAACTGGGTACAGATTAGATGCTTTTAGGTTAATTTAATGATCCTTAGGCAATCCCGTATTCCGTTGATAAGTTGTTTTCTGACTTTAGGTTTTTGCGATTTTTTGTTCGCTTTACGCGGTGATAAGGACGACTTGTTAAGGATCTAGCTCAATAAAAATAGTTAAATCTCGTTATCATAGCTCCTTAGTTGATATGGCCCGTGGTCTATTTAAAACTATCTTTATAAAGTTTATTATTTTGACCATGGCCGAATTCATTTAACGGAGAGATCCTAGAGAATTTTCCACTTTTCAGTTTTCCGCATTTAAGTGTACTTTATCCCTCCTGTGTTTCCACAATAGGTTGAACCCTTCATAATCATGTTAGGCTCGAAGTGTACACCACTTACATAAATGGTTGGCTACTAAGTCCAACATACTTATCATTGTTAAACGACCCACTTTATTAAAATATATACAATTACAAGATAATACAAACTTTATAAATTTTTAAAATAAATCTTTTAAAATTTTTAATTTATCTAAATTAAGGAATAAAAGAATCGAACTTTCGACAGTTTGTGTGTAAAACAAACGCTCTACCAACTGAGCTAATCCCTTATAAAAGTTTAAAAAAAAATTTTTACCCTTTTAAGTAAAATGCTTATTTCTTGAAAAAAAATTAATATAAAATATATTTAGTTTTAAATTAAATAAAATTTTAAACAATTTAAAAGTTTAATTTTTTTTATAATTATTTTTAATCAGCCACCCGTGAGATATCTTAAATAACTTTAAACTTATTTAAAATTAATACCTCCAACTTAGCTGATTATTAAAAATTTTTTAGACTTTATAGACACCTTTTTCCTATCTATTTTTAATATTTTCAGCTTACGATATAACAAATATTAATAACCATACGCAATTTATTGAAAATTTTTTAGTCAGGCGCGGACGTTTTTCTATACTCTAATGAAAACTATTTCTATTCTATATTAGTTTTAATTCAATTACATTTTATTAAGATTTTTATTACTTGGCAATGAATCATATTTGTCAAATAATAAGTAAAAAGGGTAAAATAAATTTTGACCCGCCTTCATCCCATTATACTATTATTTCTATAATTTTTATAAATTTAATAAAAAAGTTTAATTTAAACTATCTTAAAACATATAAAAAAGAATAAACTTTTATTAAATTTATCCCCCCCCCCTGGATTTAAGTGCAATATTATTTTCCGCAAAAAATATTTTTCGTCTGAACGTATTATTTTCTGCTTTAATCACCGGTATTAAAAATCCAAATTATAAATTTGTCCGTTAAACAAAAATAATAAATTAACGGACAATTAAAATATTAATATAATAAAAATATAATGAATATAGTAGCCTAAAAAGTTATATATCCGTCACGGGGCGACGGATGGATAAATTATTTGGTTTGTAATATATTTACATTTATTTTTACCACATTTTATCGATCCGGAGTAAAAGCTGTGAATTATTTCTTTTGATTCTAAAAATAATACTTAATATTTATAACGGCAATACTACTATTAATAATTTACAGAACGATTCTTTACCTACTAATTCTGCTATATACGTTGAGAATATTTTTAACGTTTTGGATAATAGTTTAAATCATGATTCTTTGGATAATAATCCTGAAACAGAAATATGCACTATGGATAATTCTTTTATGAGGATGTCTATTGATAAACTTTTAAATTATACAGCTTAAAATGATGAATTTTTGGATATTATTCTTTTTATGAATAAAAATATAATTATAATAAAAGTATTTTGGATGATTTGGAGCTTTATACTAAAGATAAGGATTATTCAATTAAAAATTTTAAGGTTATGCATAGTTATGTTAATACACCAACACCATTATCAAAATCAGCTTTAAAGAAAACATTTTAAAGCAAATAAAATTTTCTAATAATTTTAAAACTAATAATTATTTAAAAAATTTAACTTATGATGATTATTTATCTAATTTTCATTCTAGATTGAAATTAATTAATGATTATAAAAAAAGAAAATAAAATTAAAAAGTATAAATAATGATAATAATTGAAAACCTTATGATTATCCTTTACCTAATATAGTTTTATTAAAAATTATTTTAATTAGGTTTGCTGTTAATAAATTTTTAAAAGAAATTGTTTTAAAGAATAATTTTAATAAATTTGGTGTTTTCTTCAATATTGAATTATCAGATGGTAGTTTTATAAATATCACTCGTTTATTTATCAAGAAAAATAGTGACTTAGAACGTAAAGATTTAATAGATACTATTAATTTGGTATGAGATAAAAAAGATAAAAAAGAATATAAAAAATATAAAATTTTTTATTCATAAAAAAATTAAAATTTTAATATATAAATTATTCCTATTTTCATTTTACTATTCTCCCTTTAGGAAAAAATATATTGTTTTTTCCTTTATATGCATAAATCATCTTTCTTATTTTTACTAGCTTACCTATAGAGAAAATATGAATTGAGAAAAAAAATTTATTTCTTTTTTCATTTTTCCTATTATATAGATTAAGGAAAATTTCTATATAATTATTTTATTTCCCATTTCTATTAATATTTAATTATTATGAATAACAAATTTCAAAATGATTCTTTCAATTCCGTTTCTCCCAATAAAAAGTCTATTAACAATAATATTATCTCAAATGATATATCTGATAACAATATTGATGATAAAATTATAGACAATTTAAATTCCGATTCCTCCGAGACACAAAAAAAATCTTCCATTGATAATATTATTTCAGAGGATAATTTTTCTAATATTAACAATAACAATCCTAATTTTCCTTCATTTCCATTTAATAATAAAGGTATTTATCAAATAGCTAATTTTCTTTATCAAATTGATGATGAATTTTTTAAACAATTAGCAACTTTAAATACCTTTAATACTCATGTTATTAATTTTCGTTATGATAGAAGTCTTAAACCTCATCTATTTATGCAATGTTTTCTTTTAATTTAACTACTTTACTTGATCAAAATAAAAAAAATAATAAACATATGTATGCTTCTATATATAATAGTACTAGAATTGTTCCTATAGATATCAAAAATATGATAGGTTGATTGATTAGAACTGAAACTTATATTTTAAATATTATTTATGTTGATACAATCTCACCTTTATCTGATAATTTTAAAAATCCTCATATAATTAAAAAAAATTTTGGTATTGATGAATTTAGTCATCCATTTTCTTTAACTACAGCGGTTTATCATATTGATAATTTATTTTCCTTAAACGATCCTAATACCTTATTCTTCTTAAAAAATTTACGTAATACATTATTTATTTTCAATTCAGGAGGTTTTAATAGTTGAAAAGAAATATCTAATAAAATTAATAAAAATTCTGGTCTTACTGTTAGAGGTGGTTCTAAAAATATTAGATCTCTTATTTCTCCTCTTCAATTTAGATTATGTCAAACTTTATTAACTATGAATATTAAAGTTAATGATATTATTTCAGGTTTTTATACTGATGAGGATAATAGATTTAATTCTTTAGATAAAAAATTATTTAATAATCCTAAAAGATCATATCATACTATTTCCAATAATTTTAAACCCTATAATAAATCTTTTCCTTTAAATTCTTATAATAGATCATGATTTTATAATCAAAATTCTAAGAAAAATATTAGATTATTTTCAACTTTTTCAGATGAAATTTTAGATATATGTAAAAAAAATTCAAATTTAGATAGTTTATTTAATTCTGCGATATATGATAGACTAAATGTTATTATCAATAGTGATAATGATAATCATACTAAACAATTAAAATTAGAAGAAGAATTAATTAATTATAATAAAAATGCTTTTGATAAATTGAAAACATCTCCTAATTTATTTTATGGAGATACAGGTCTTAAATTTTTATTAGAAACTATTAAATTACTAGAAAATGATTTAGAAGATTGTAAAAAAGATTCAAGAATTTTTACAAAAAATTTTAAAGATGTTATATATGAATTAGATAATAGTACTATTGTTTCAATTGTATTAAGTACGGTTATTCCTTCTATTTATAAATATAGAGATTCAACAGATTCAAATAAAATTATTAAATTATATCCTATTTATAAAAAAATTGGTTCTAAATTAGTATTTTGTTATATAGAAAAAATGTATGATAAATATAAAAATCATGTTAAATCTTTTTCAACTCCATTTAAATTTAATATTAATATTAATCCAACTCCTTCAGAGTTTGAATTCGATATAGATACATCTTTAGAATCATTTTCAAAAAATATAAAAGATATATTTGATTCACATGAGGAGTATTATATTAAATTAGGTTTTAAATTAGTTTTATTTTTTAGCGATAGATCAGGATTATTTTCTATCGAAAACGAAATAATTAATAAAGAACATACTATTGCTCAATTAATACCAGCTGATAATTTAGATGAAAAAATAATAAATTATTTAAGTAATGATGATTCGACATATCCAATGGTTTGCTCTCCTGATGATTGGGAAATTTCTATTACTAAAAATGAGTATAAAATTATAAAACAAGGTGGTTTTTTATCTCAGAATTTTAAAAAGAATAAATTTATTCAATCAAACCCTAAAAATAAAGGATTAACAAAATTATACAATGATCATATTGTAAATACTATTAATTATATTCAATCTATAAATTATATAATAAATAAAGATGTTCTAAAAATAATATTAAAGAATATTAATCTTGGTATCTTAGATGATTTAATATTATTAAATATTCACCCAGAAACATCTAATATTATGAAATTAATATCTAAAAAAGAAAAATCTTTAGTTAAATCTATTTTAAAACATAATACTAAATCATATATAGATAGAATTATATTAACAAATGCTATATTATATCGTAATTCAGATCTTTTTTTCCCTGTATTTATAGATTTTAGAGGAAGATTATATACTTCAACACCAAGTTTTTCATTCCAAGGTAGTGAATTAATAAAATCTCTTCTTCTATTTAAAAAAGGTTTTGTATTAAACGAATCTGGTCTTAAATCACTTAAATTATACATAGCATCGTGTTATGGATATGATAAAATATCTAACATTGATAAAATAAAATGGGTTGATGATAATATTGATAAAATAATAGATATTGACAATAATTTTTGATTAAATGGTAAAAATATTTTATTATCCTTAGCTTCATCATTAGAAATGAAAAAATATCTTGAAAATCCTTTAAATTTTAAATCAAATCTTCCTATTTACATAGATGCAACATGTAATGGGATTACAGCATCTTTCATCAATGATTAATGATATAGGATTAGCCAAAAGAGTTAATATATATAAATCTAGTGATAATGATATTCCAGAAGATATTTATTCTACAATGATTACATTTATTAAAGCTAAAATAAGTAAATCTATTGAAAATAGTAATAATTACTTCAATCTTAGTAAAATTAATATAGATAGAAAATTTATTAAAAGAGGTATTATGACTATATCTTATGGTGTTACTAAAGATGGAATTAAATCTCAATTAATTTCTGATTTTTTTAATTTAACAGATGTTGTAGAAAACAAAAAAAGATTGTT